TTTAAGATATCTTAACAGCAACCGACCCGTTTGTGGGTTGGATAATATTTCTGCATCAAAGTTCATATCAATGTTTGCAAATTCTCCAAGTGGGTGGCTAGAAATTCATTTCTTGTTATGCGGAATTAAGCTATTTTAAGTAAAACAAGACAGAAATGGAGAATTTTGAAATGCAAGGTGTTTTACCTTCGTTTCGAAATTTATTGATCTAAATGAATTTTTTTAGGTTTTATTCTCTATGAAGAGATTCTAAAAAAGAAAGAATTTATCTTAATAATACTGATCTCGTTATGAAGACTAACAACAACACATGCCTAAACGTCTGAAAAATTTATAAGTTTACATAAATACAATATTTCGTCGTTGGTGCTTTCATGTTTTTGTTATCATTTCGGCCAGCTGTCATCTCAAATGAAGTTTGCCAGAAGATAGGATTTAAGTTCTTTCCATGATAACTTCAAAATGCGTAAAGCCAAAGATGTGATTGTTCTTCAGAACCGAATTTCAAGTCGCGGCAAAACAGGGAAAAAAAAAAAAAAGAAAAAATAAAGTTGTACGAATGTTTCCTTATGTGAACACCGTGTCTCAGGCTTTGAGGTAAATATTGATGATAATATCATTAATCTGAGTTTAAAAAAAATTTCTTCTCGTAGAAGAAATATTTTGACAACCACTCATCGTTTTCAGTTGTAGTTTTCACGACATTGTAAGTTCACTTTACCTCTTGTAGCTTTAATGTTTTTTTAATATAACCCCGAACGAAATTTTTCTTACCAACCCAAGACAAATTGTTTCTTATCATCACGAAACACTAAGAGTAGCTGGTGAAGTTATTACCAGAAAAACAGATGCAAAATAAATATAAACTTAAACGATATGCTAAATTAGCCATTTATGTTCATTTTCTAAATCGCCTCAGAGTAAATTGAAGAATACGTATCGGGTGAGCTACTTTTTCAAGCAGTGAGAAAACAGCTTAAGAAACAAGATTACTCCTTGGCTGGCACGCAATAGTTTAAATTTTAGTTTTGTAGGGATTCAGCAAGTACACTTTTCAGATATTGAAGAAGGTATAGTACATCGGAACGAATAACTTTTCACGTTGAGTTTGCTTAATTTTACATCTTTATCTAAATTTTATTTGCACCCAAAAGAAACTCCAAGAAAAGAGCCAGATCTCTTAAATTATGAATTTTTCGTTGCGAAAATTATATGTTTTTAGCGAATTGAAGCGTCGTTTCGACTTCCACTGTCTGTCAAAACAATAACAGGCTATTCTTTGAATTCATATGAAACAATTTTGTTGGCATGTTATCTCGTCATTTTAAGGTAAATCATGAACAATTTTACTTTAGGTTCAGTAAAATTAGAGACACTCTTTGTGCCTTTAGCTATTAGGTCTTCTACGAAGTCCGGGTGTCAGGCCAAGGGTAATGCCATTGAGGATGCTTTAATAATTAACCAGTGTGATTTAACAATAAGAAGTATGCGGGGTATCTATACCCGTGGATAAACTCGCTAACCAATAATAGCCAAGATCAGTGATAAATACAGTGGCTGATAAACTCAAATAAAGACGTCAAACAAAAGATGTTTTGACTAGTGTAAACAAGTAACAGAGTGGAGACCTTTCAAAAAGATTCGAAGGCAAGTCTTTTTGTCATTTCTCTATCAGTAATAGAGATGTGGTTTCAAACGCTTTGATTTATGTTGTCTTAGACAAGCGTACGTTTACGCCGTAGCTATACACTGTTGTGAATCTTTTACCAGCGCAGTGGGCATGCAACTTTTTTTGGAAATTTTACCTTATCAGTTTCACTTAGATCATGCCTAGAGCAAAGTAAGCCAGTTAGTCAGATTTGACAAAAAGACTTACTGCGGTCCTCACTAACAGAAGGCGGCGAACTAATAATTCAACAGACTGTAATTTTCTGTCGGTCGGAAGCTTTGATAGGAAAGTCGGGCGGATATTTTCGATCTAAAAATTCCAATCCTTTTTTATTTAAATTTCGAGTTTCACCCACTCGAACTCAGCACGAAAGATGTGCTATTTTAAGCCATAGTTGTAATTACGTTTGTCGTCGCGTCTTCATAACCGCATCTCATCTGTAATTTAACAATGCAGTTGTTTTTACTCGAGTGCCGTTTTATAGCGATTATCCACCTCAGATATGTTTTCTAAGCAGTACATAACTCTAACTCGACTATAAGAATTTACCAGTGTTATCGTTAGATCGGACTGTGACCTCTCTGCGAAAAAACAAGTTTCGTGCTCGTGAAAGAGATATTCAGTTTCTCTCAGTTAGTTTGCCCACTTAAGCGGCGTAATCAATTCATTATGCTTTATTGATTTTTCACCTTTCTAACTCTATAAAAACAAAACAATCCCACAATCTTAGAACTATCGCCTATTTTCTAAGATAACCGTATGATTCTTGTACCCCAAATTTCTGGATTAAGTCAGTATCAATTCAAACTCCTCGTGCTCCTTGCAATTAGGAGAAGATTCTCGGTTGTTTTATCTTGTGGGCCTGACTTATTTCAAATTTTCAACGTCTTGTATAATTATACAACGATTTTTAAGAAAAGCGGATTTTTAAAAAACAAAAAAAAATATTAAAAGAGAAACGGATAAGATTCAGTTTCTTTTGGTGAAGCAAGATAACCAAGATCTGGCGCAAATTATCTCAAACTCAGTTCTTCATTTCGCGGTAAAGAAATCTGTTACGTTGCGTGCATACGTGTAAGATAATAAGTAATGATCTTTCGTTTTGTCGCGTCTGAAAATTACGAATAGAGATTAGTGTGTGCTTTCGGAATCTTTTTATATTGTGTGTTTCTCTTTGATTTATGATTAAAGTCAAGTAAGGTGGGTAGACTTTCGTCCTGATTAGTTGCCTGATCGATCTGCAGTTGCTGAGCTTTGTTTGGCGACTGAGAAAGGTGATAAATTTACCATATTTTTATTATTCATTCACTCGCCACTTTCGGCTTTGCTCATTCTTGTAGTGCGCAGGACGTTTGCCCGAAACAAACTTAAAAATAAGTTGTAAAGCTTTTACGTGCATTTGCGTATCACTGATTTTGCAGGCTTTACGTACATTTCTCCTTCCAGCAAAAGTACCTCGAACCAAGACAGGCACGTGTATTTGGTTTGAAAATGCGGTTGAATCAAAGACGCTTTCCGGAAACCACATAATGAAGAGGAAAATAAATCTCTTTTAATTTTCTAAATTTTCTCTGAGTTTTGACCGTGATATTTTTAGGTTGGTGAGACGATTGTGGTTTTCTAGAGCAGTGCACATACTTTTTGAAGCTTTTTCGTTTATTTGTTTATCTCTCTCTCTCTTTTTTTAAATGTCGCTTTATATTTTTGTTCTAAAAGAAGTTAATAGGTTATTAATATTTCAAGGAAACCTTCTCTACAAGTAATATAATTGCTCGATATAAAGATTCATTTGATATTCCCAATAGCTCTCCGGCAAAAAAAATCCATTTTGAAAGATTAAGAATGGACAATTAGAAGACGTAGTTTTCTTTAACTCAGATAGCGAGTCACACCAAAGAAGAATTATTTCTGACGAGCGAGCCTCTGAAACTTCTATGAAGCATCATCCAACTAAGATCTCTTCCGTGCTTCAGTGCCATTTTTTCAATTTAACCTTCCCTATGTCTAACAACAAGCAAACTAAAGCTCCTTGACAACCGTACCTACATTGTGGTTTGACTGAGAGCAAGTAACTGCCAAATTCTTTGAGGATTTCGTTAAGAGGCGAATCATTTTGCATGGTTACGGCCAAAGAGTATCAGATGAATTGTACTCGTTTAATCTCCAATCATATTTTAAGAAATCAGATTTGCTGATCCGATCAATTTGCACAATCTCCTCAAGTTAGACTGAGCCAGAACACAGTAAATCGAATGATTCACTTTAATGATAAAAACTATGGAAAGTAGATATGCGTATTAGATTTGCGTCACTTTAAAAGAGGTTTATTACAGTTAAGAATGTCGGTTGGCAAAAAAAATAGTGTCCATAAATGCTTAGTTATTTCCTTCTCGTCATAACTTGGCAAGTTACCATATTAATGAAATTAGGTTCAAAATTTAAGGTGGTTCTCTGCTTCTGTAAAAATTTTTACTTTAAAAAATGGTAACCGTTTTATTGATAAACATATACACTTTCAGAGCTCACATGACCTGTAGCCTACATAGATGAGAAATTTACAAAATTTAAGGTGGTTCTCTGTTTTTGTAAAAATTTTTACTTTAAAAAATGGTAGCCGTTTTGTTGATAAACAGATACACTTTCACAGAGCCCACATGACCTGTAGCTTACACAGATGAGAAAAAGCTGCCAGCTCTTTGTGGCTCAATGACACACTAATCCCACATTTGATAACAACCGAAGGTATTTCTCCGCTCCATAATCTTGATAAAAATCTAAATTTCATGATCTTAAACGCCAACCTAGACGTAAACTCATCAACAAGGCAAGCGTTTAAAACTAATAGAGCAAACCACATTATTTTTGTATACACCACCCTAATGTTACAACAAGTATCAAGTTCCAAAGGCAGTCAATTTAAACATCTGGCGGCCAAGACTACTAAAGAAGGAGGAATGATTACTTAATATGTTTTTAAGATTCATAAACTTTTTCAGGCTTCTGTAGTTGGAAATACCATATTCTTTATCATAAATATATCAGTGGCAAAAATTTCACAATTTCATAAAATATTTGCCAAAATAACGTTTTAGATCATCGTCTATTTAGACTTTCTTGGATCTTTCGACTTCTCTCTTTTGTCAATTATTTTGATCTAATTAATGAGACTTTCTTATGACGTAATGCAAATAACTCGACATTAAAAGATTTTGACATTAGGAGACATTCAGTCAAGACAGCGCAAACAAAGTGAGCTTTATCTTGGCGTCAGTTTCTCCTCGAAAAGATACGGATGTTGACTTTCGTGGTCAGGTAAGAGCATAAAAAGATTTGACATAGAAACTCAAAAGCGCTCTTACTTTTACTACGTTTAGAACTTCAAACGAACTGTTTTGTTTTGCCAGAGGGACGCGTCATTTCGATCCCGTGGTTCCAGTGACTATCAAATGTGGGAGAAAAAAATGTTCGCCAATGAAGAAAGCGTTTTTTGATTAAACAAAAAAGAGAGAGTGATTGCTGAGAATTTTAATTCAAATCCTTACTCAGACGCGGGCTCTCTCTCTCTCTAACGACTTTTTAAGATGCATTTTCTTTAATCTAATCTTTTCGTTTACAATTTTGGAATAGTTTGTACAGTAAAGTTTAAGAGTTACTTCCAGTTGTATAATCAATATTTTCAGTGTGTCGGTTTTCTTCTCTCTCTCTTTCGTTAAGGGTTTTTTTCACTACAGTACAGTTAAAACGTCGAGAAGTGTTTTTCTCATTTAGCTGATAATATCAAACATTTTATCACCACAATCGCTTCAAATCAGTGAAAGGAAATTAAGGAACAAGTAAGCGAGACAGAACAACCGCACGTACGCATTTCAACACTCGCAATGGAAAAAGGCGTAAGATTCTCGAATGCGAGAGACGCTCGAATAACTAGTGACTTTAATTCACATGGTGTTCAGTTCTGAGACAAAAACATTCGTGGCCATAAGGGCCTTATTATTTACGTCTTTTTCCGTGTGAAATAAATCAATTATATTCTTAAAAAGTTGTCATGTCATAGAAAGTCAGGTTGCATCAAAGCTGCCGAAGTGTTATTTGAAATATAGTAAGTAACTGAACGAAAGACTCCAGAATACAATCTCATCATTATTTATTGCTGCGGATGACTCCTCGGTCTGAGACAATAGCGACAGCTCTTTCCTATTTTTAACCTTTCAATAAAAGCAAACGCCATTAACATATGGGATTTCAATTTCACGAGCAAACAGAAAGAAAGCAGAGATAAAGTTATCAGCGCTATTGTATTTTTAAATGCTTGCTTGAATGAGATATGTCATTTGTCTGTTGACCAAATGAATAGGGAATAAAAACAGAGTTAATAGAATTTTAGCTTTGTTCTTGGTATCTGAGGCCAAGAAAGATGGAAAGTACACATCAATTTTTCTTCTAGAGTATTCATCCAGAATAAGAAATTACGTAAAAGTCATTAACATGGAAATCTAACGAAACTAGACGTTTTTATAGAACGAGAATGACAGTCGAAAAAAGAAATATTAAATGACGAAAACTTTAACAGGAGTGTTAACAAAAATGTTCAACTTTAGCTGTTGAAAACATGATTAACCGTTCGTTGGTTGGAGTTGCTTATGAAACAGTACCACATGTCGACCCGTCAAAAAGTATTATCGGCAATGAAATAATTGATTCCTTTTCTTTCCTTGTTTATTCCGTCAAAGTAAACATTTTCAGGGCTATTAAAAGAGAAAACAATACTGGATGTCGGAAGCAACATCAAATCAAAAAAAAATTTATTTTCTCGACAAATAACATTTCAAATGGTCAATCTCTAAAACGTGTTGTCGTGAAAAGGCTGGTTTCTGAAGGGATTTGTGCTGCATGAAAGAGACGTTGGTTGCGTGCACATTGCGTTACATCATTTCTCCTTGGGGTACGGTTTGATATGCCATAGATTTCCTCACCTTGTCGGTGCTGGTTCACATCAGTCGAACGCGGTTCCGTTTTGATAAAAGTCGACCCACGCAGTTTTTCAGTGTAATGACGTTTGCTGTGACCGTTTCGCCCTCGCGCTGAATGTTTATATTTCATGTTTTAGTACAGATGATCGACAACTCAGAGTCCGTTTGCTCACTGGCACTTTCCACTTAAATCAATAATATCTCTTTCTTCATTCTTCCTCGCTCAAATTGCACGAATCCAACGCAATAGTTTTCTTGCTGAAAGGTAAGGCACACAATGGTGCACTTTCTGTAATTTCCATAAATGATAATTTTCGGTCCGTTGCATGGCACTCGTGGGATTAGGAACACTGTGTGATTCCGACAGGGGTAGCATGAACATATGATCCTTCGATGACTAATTCCAATGCTTCGCCGTTGAGTCATTTCCAATAGAATCGACGGTGGGCCATTAGGATCTCTTCAGGAACATCTTGATTTTTTATTTCTGCTAGAATTTGTGAAGAAATGAAGATAAGTGTTTCCAAACCATCGATCAAAGTGAACTGGGACATGGTGACACCAGAAAACTAGGAAAATGAAATATGCTGATTACTTGCAAAAGACGTTGAACCAATGAATTCTCAAATACATTATTTTTCTCTTTTGGAGTGGACCTCACTATGCGTTTGAATACTTTTTATTTTTTCCTAGCTTTTTATCGTTTATAAAATTTTTCGGAGTTTTCCAGTTAATGTTTGCAAATATTATTAACGTTTAATTCAAATAGATGTCATTGTTTCCTGTGGTTTACTACTCTCTGGGTGTGCCACTCCTATTTTCATTCACAGTCCCTCCGGTGACGTAATCCACAGCGACGTAATTAATGTTTCTAGAAGGTTTTCTTTTGTTTCCAAATAAGGCTGGTTGTACATTACTTAGCCAATTAGCGAAGCCACCTAGACCTCTTCGAGTTTCCTGAAAACAAAATCGTGCAAAAACGAGGCGAACCAGCCGGTGATTACAAGTTTTTTTCCTTTTTGTTGGCTGTTACATTCACTGTAAGTTGGCCATATCCCAAAATGTCAGTGCGACCTTGATAGAGGTAAACAGATGAAATAATCAGGGTATTTTTTTTTCATTGGTTAACTCTAGCTGTTATTTTTTCGGTCCGTTTCTAGGTAACAATTGGGGCTTGCAGACATTCACGCTTTGTTGACTTTAGTTCACAAAAACTCAAACTGCATTTCCCAGGTAAGAACAAGGAATATATTGTCGTTTTCTCTTAGGGAATGACATGTTTTTTTTGTCAAAAGGGAATAAAAACAAAAATAATAAATTTTTTGGCAAAGGAGCAAAGAATCTCGAGACGCTAAGAGTTCATGGTTTGCGAAAAAAATTGTTGCTTGTTTTACTTCGTCCCTTCCTTTAATGCAGACTTTTAAGGTAAATACTATCCTTACATTGACGGTTGATATGACATCGCATTTGGATGGAATTTTTCAATTAGAGAAGAGAAACCGTTACACTTAGTGATATATATACGCTTCCATGTGTCGTTTCAAGGAAACGAATATTTCTATTCGAGATTCATTTAACTTTACAGGTTTCGTTAGAATATATTATTGATCTATGAATAGATCTACCTTAACAATTCACTAAGCCTGTTATTACGATCAGGTGGCAACCTTACTGTAAACAGGCAGCAAACAAAACACCGGATTAAGAGGCAGCTAGATCTAAAGGTGCAATGGCTGCCAGTTACACAGTGAATATTTTTATTCTAAGTATGTATACCCTTTCTAGGAGAAACTACATTTCTGGAGCAACTGCTTGGATAATTTCTTCCGATTCAGTAAGTTGACAAAGCTAATATACTTTCTTTTCTTAATTTCATGTAATTTTTTATTCGTAATAGATCCACTTTATTAGCAAAAGAACTGTTGCCGTAAAACTGCTGTAAAAAATGAGGCAGATCCAGAAGAAATCTTTAGGTCTTTATTTTTATTGTAAGCCAGCCTGACCAAGTCAATTTCCAAGCGAGATCATCATATTAGGCATATTGATCGGAGACGTCTCCACAACCAGTTACGAGAAAGCTCTAGGTGCTTAGGCAACATATTGGTAATTCCGTTTGGAAAATTTATTTTTATGAAGTAAATTGACCTCTGAAGGCGAAAAAACTGTTTGTAGAGTCCTATTGGGACAAATGAATTGACGATTTTTAATGAATAGCAGTTCTTCCTGCAAGGAAGGAGCGTTGTAAAATGTGTATATGGAAGAACTGGCTGTTTAAGGTTTTCATGGGTAAATTCGCGTCATATGCATGGGTTTTACATATCCCTTTTCTGAATGTTTCGTTCTTCTTCTATCAGGGACAAAATGGAGAAAAACGATAAGAATTTGAGAGGAAAATTTATGCGTTGATAATGCTCCTTTCGTGACTCAAATTGTCAAAACACAGCTGGACTGCTGTCATGAATTTCTTTCTTAAAAAAATATTTGACGAACACTGAAACAACTGAGGAGATTGGGCAAACTTTGATATTAAGGCCATGATTTCTAAATGTCCTTAAGACGAAGATTCTTCGTTAAATTTTTAAGATAAACAGAACAAAATGCTTTTATGTCTCTTTTACTGACCGAGAAAATACCATTTTTGTTGCACAGCACGTGAAATATGAAAATTAACGAACCGATACATCATAGAATATGCCAAAACGAATGACACCTTTGTCATGGTGGGTGACTTGCTTGCAGAGTATTGTTAATGGCTTAGCACCTGTTGGTAATTTTTTTCTTTCAATAAAAACAATCGATGACAACTTTCTAGAAAAGTGCGCGTAACTCTTCTTCACAATTATTGTGCTTTGATTCGTTAGGATATTATAGATACTGTTGTTTGTGTTGTTGTTGTTGTTTTTTTTCGAGATGCTGCTTTTGTTGTTTTTCTTTTTTCAAAAGATATTCGAAGGGAACAGTTACAACACTAATATAATAAGCTAGAAACTAAGGAAGTTGTTCCTTCAGCAATTATATTTTGTAACGAGTGCGTTGTAAAGTGCTTACAAAATAAAATGGCAACAACGAATTAATGTTTATATCTTGTGCTAGATTACCAGATTGTTCGGCGATTCAGTTGTTATTGCAGCGAGCATGGGGCTTTATTTTTTTCCATGCGAAAGCCAGTTACAAGTTGATATTTTTTAGCTTCCTATACAAGTAAAGAATTCTTCTGTTAAGTCTGGAAGTGACCATATTTTCGTCCAACCCAAAGCAGCTGGAAGTTGTTTTGAGTTGGACGAAATCGTTTATTTCCCGCAGAGAGAATTTTTTTGATCAGTGACCACGACGAAATGAAGTTTTGTTAGTTTTGTCTCGCTTGAAGATTTCGAGGTGTTACGATGAAGAAGCTTTTCAAACTGTACCTGGCCGTCATAATGTTGCTTATTTATGGTGGCCAAGTAAGAAAATACACCCACTTTAAACTATAGATGTCCTTGCAATGTTCTTCTTTTTTCCCTTTTTCATAATAGTGAAGATTTGTTGTGAGATAATAAAGGTGTGAGAGGCACGTCTTCAGACGAAAACTCGCCAATTGCTAATTTATTCTTGTTTCCATAATTGGAGCTGATTTGGAGAACATTTTGAAAGGGATAACATAAGCTATTGGAACAAACCAGAGCCCCACTGTGCGTTCGAATTTAATGCCAAACATAGATATGCAGCTTGATGTTACAAATTGATGACAGTTGGGTGCTTACCTTACGTAAAGTTTTTTGGCACCATACCCTAATCTGATACTAGATAGTTAAATGAGAGGGATTTATGACGCTTTTCGATTTGAGAATGTTCCAACAAAAACAAGCTGGTGACTGAACACTGACCTAAAAGCTGCTGTGAAACTTCGAGGTTTTATCCATTTCCACCCCAAATCCCATGATTGAGTGGAGTGTAAATCTGAGGGCCTAAAGGTAGGATTTTTACCAGTTTTTCTCTTGAAAAATAAAGTTTCAAAAGTGTTTTTCATGCATGGAAAAAGACATCGCAGGAGGGTTTTTCGCTAATTATAGCTAACGTTGATGTAACTACAGAAATATGAATCAATGCAGGATTTTTTCCCACTGCCAATTTCACAATGTTGAACATTCTGCAATTGTGAGTTTGACACTAATGATCGCCAGCAAAATGTGCTAAAGGAAGTCTTGCCGTAAAGTCTTTAATTTTTTAACCTTTCCTATCATACAAGGGTTTATGGCAATCACTGTAATCAATTGCTTCATCACAAGTACAGCTTTTGTCCGTGACTTTATCCTTCTAGGTTGTTGTGGAGCTTCAAAAAGCATAGAACCATCCTTTTGAACATTAAATTTTTAATCTTGGGAAAAAAGACTTTTCACCTGTCCATGTTTTTCATGGTGTATATACATTTGTTGTGCTTTTCGCGTCTGCAATTACCATTTATATTAGTACTTTGGTATCAATTTAAAGACGTAAACCTCTTAAGGAGGCTCACTTGAAAAACAAATACAACCAAGAACGACAAAACAAAAACTAATTATCGAAATATTTGAATAACTGTCCAGGGAACTTGATAAAATTTTCTCGATTAGTTGTCTTCGCAATCAACAAAAACTCATAACAATGATAGATTAATGAAGATTGTTTTATTTATTTTGTAGTAGTTCAATAAGTTGAAAGGAGCTTATTACCATTACAGTTTTTATTTATTTATTTGTTTATTTTAGCTGCCTTTTAAACTTGTCAAAATTTTGAAGAGCACAATTAGTTTGGATAGATTGTCGAGAAAATGTTCTCAGTCATCTAATTTGAAGTCAACTCAATCGTCTATGAAAGCCATTGTTCAGTGTTTGACAATAAAAGTACAACGACACATTGCGAAGTGTTAAAAAAAATTTCAACAGCATTCTTAGCCCAGAACAAAGTAGAAAATTGGCAAGAAATACTGGTTCTCTATATTCGGATAACACTGGAAAAAGACGTATTTATTGCACATGAAGTACCTTTCCTTTAATTTCTCGGGAAAAAAAACTGATTTGCGTATTATTCAACCAATTAAAACCGAGCCTTTTGGACAGTCCAAAAATAAGTTTAACCAATCTTAGAATTCTGAAGTTACTAAACTGACTAGTATCTAGCGAATGTCAGTTAAGGGGGAGGGGACGGGCATGAAAAGTCAAAGGGGAAAATGGGGCCGAAATCTTCTTTCAGGCTGTACTTCTCCTATACTAGAAATGTTCAAATCAATATTGGAGAAAAGGTATAGTTTACTTGAGTTTTCATCTTTCTATGTTATTGTGCGTGCAAGGTCAACTAGAACTTCTCTTAACGACTAGACAACGTTGCGTGCGAAAAGGTGTTAAAAGTGAGGGCCACAAACAAAAATTAATATTTACAAAAATATCTTCAAATCAACAGTGTTAAACTTCAATATTGAATTTTTTGTTTTCTTTTTACCTCAGTCGTTTTTGCAGTACCTTTTCTTTAATTTCTCGGGAAAAAAAATTATTTTATCGTTACTCTTGGACACGGAAAGGACACCAATGTCCGCTATCGTCATTTTCCCAGCTTAGGCCGTCTAGCAAGCAGGAGAAGAAAGTGGAAAGAAAAATGTTGTTTTTGTGGGGTTTATACTGAGAATGCACGGGTCATAATTTAGGCTTAATTCTGAATACTAAATTATGTCGATGTTGGTACATTTGGTTTTTTAATTTTTTTTAACTGAATAGACCTGGCGAGCCTTGAGAAAAAAATTAACAGCATTGTTCGTTACAGGCTTTAATGAAAGAAAGACGCTCTTTGTTGATATGCAAATAATGATCAGTGCATTTTCAAATAATTTAAAAAAATAGTAATAAAATAAAATCCCGCACAGGTAATAAAGGGATAAGTTTAGAGCAATGGCAAAAGCAGGGAAGAAAAGGTTGATTTCGATTGCCTCTTTGAAGTGCTGAGTGCATCTGTCAAACAAGTTGGTTTGTTTTCACTTCATAAGCGGCAAGAAATTATATCGTTGAATGATTTACAGTGGGCGGTCCTATATTGTTATTGAGTATTCAACTCGGGACGTATACTTCACTCGGCAGGAATTGTTATTTTAATATGGTTTTTCGGCTGCCTGGCTGGGAGAATAAGAAATGTTAGTTCTTTTTCGGCAGAAGAAAAACTCGCGCAGCGAGGCGAAAACACTGGAAACTTGCTGTTTTCGTGTTATTCCTAATCAGCATATTGCTTGAAGTAAGTCATAACGCATAACTCAATATCTCGAAACTGGGTTCGAGTCTTGTACGAAGGGATTTTCTCAAAGCGTGTTAGACTGTATGTCGCATGGACACTAATTTTTCATTCATCAGACTTCATATGTCTGGTCTGTTGTTCGGATAACGTATAAACTGCTGTCAAACTAAGGTAAGTTGTAGGCTCTGTTTCTATTCGTCGGTAAGTAAACCATTCGTTCATAGCTTTGTGGTCATAAGCTTCAAATCGACATCTGATGAATAAAATGAAAGATGTTTATTTTTCTAATTTATGGAGCGAGACAGGGAGTAGAATTATTACCAGAATGTAAGAGTTATAAAACGGAGATTCCAACCTTTTTTAAAGATTTTGCCATAGAAGAAGAATCATATTTCTCCTCAGAAATATGATGGAGGCGACTCTAAGAGCTGAAGAGAATTATAGTTGAGATCGAATACTTCTCCCTTGTTCTTCAGTGGTCTTTTCGTGCAGTGAGTATTTTTGTTTCATTTGTCTCAGACAGAAAGGACGTCTAGGTAAAATTCGTCAAAATATCGTACATAAGGAAATTAAGAAATTTTCTGCGCTAGTGCTCAACTGATCAAGTTGTTTACACCGATGGATCGAGATCTTTGAGCCAATCAGCGGACGTGTTACCCCGAATCTTGTTGTCATTAAATATATGGTGATTGCGCATAGTTTAGTGCACGTCAGTAAGATTTCATGCTTTTCAGAGAAGGTATTTCTCCGACTATTAAAGATTCAAACTGGAAATATTCGCTTCGTAGTTTGCGCCGAGGATAGCATTGTTTTAAATCTTTTTCTTTCAACTAGGCAGCGACAGATTTATCACCAATCAGGTATGTGTCGCATCTCGCAAGGTTGTCAGTCGTCCAAATTAAAAACAATGATATTTTAATTCGTGCCCAAAAATCGTGGTATTTTGTACATCAGTTGATATTTTATCTTCACTCAATGTTACTTGCTGGGATTCACATTTTCATCTATATGTGCACAAATTGTTTTTGGAAGAGTTCCTATCGAAGGAATCGTGGAATTATGAAATTTCGTTTCCAGAAATGTTGTGACTGAATTCGTGTGCCCATAGTTTCTCATTGAATGTTTTAAAGTATTTTTTTCAGGATTTATTATTTTCCAGCAGAGCGCAGGAATATGTCCTTGAAATTACCCTCCTACGTGTGTTGAAAATTAGAAAAATCTCAATGGCAGCACGACGGCTCAGCCGCCTGTTTGATCGAGTAGGAAATCGGAAGTGTGATAGAGACAGTGAATATAATCTAATTTGAATTGTTATTGTGTGAAAAGCCGCAGGGGGAATCAGGATTTTTGCTAGCATCATCTCCATCCAAAATAATGACTGAGACAAAATAGCGAAAAAGCAAACCTATATGTGTTTTCATTCAGGAATTTAGTGACATTTCGTTATCATTTCCTAATTTATTGTCCATTAAAGTCCTCGAATATGCAGCATGGATAGGTGATAAAACTTGCTCCTACTGAATATATGAATACAATTTATTCAGTTGGGCATCAACTAGTTTAGAAAACTCTTCGCGTCTCTGTTAACGCTTGTAAAGTATAATCAATTACGCGGAGACCAGTGTCTCTCTCATTAAAGTAGTTATCGTAAGCGTCGAATATTTTTGTAAAATCTTCAGAGATGTTGAATTTATCAATAGTTGACAATTTCTGCCAATGATTTTCGCTAGGACAAACAGGAACGCATAATTAAAGCCCCGTTAACGTTATGCCGGATAATTTAAAAACGGAAAAAGCTGTTTACGCGAACGTTTTCGTAACATTCTCAGAGATGACGAGTTTTTGAATAGTTAGCAATCTCTGCCAATGACTTTCGCGAGGATAAACAGCAACACATAAAGTCCCGATTTCGCTAGCCGGATCAATTTCAAACCGGAAAAAGTTGTTTGCAAATGTATTAGACAAAGTCTGCAAGAATCTCATTTTATGATAAAAACTACTACAATTTTTTTTCCTAATCGCGGAAAGAGAGCGGAAAGTCTTTTATGCATTTGCTGCCGTAAACGGATATTACGGCGTAGTCTAAGTTTGAATGTGCCATAAAAACAGGCAGGTATATTAAGCGTCAAAGATTGTGGAAACACTAATATTCTAAGGTAAAAATGGATTTTAAAAGAGTCATTTGTGCGAATTTTTCGCGTGATAATCGCTATCAGCCATACTCCAACTTCACCATGATCTTTTTTCTACCGTCCTATAGAATTTACCTGGCATAAATTGCATAATTATTGTTACACGCTCGTTATGGCAATTGGTGTTATCATCAATGAAAGTCTTTGTCTCTTCAAAATGGTTTATGGCTCGTTCGAATAATCAACCATGATCTCTAAACACACATCGAGGCTAAAATATTCCCAAAGAAGAAAGAAGCGCGAGTTAGGTTGTAGATTATAATAATAATTAAAAAGAGAACTGAAAATAGTTAGTTAATAATCATGTGTGTTTTCAATGCACGCATGTACAAATTTCAGAGAGAAGATTATCTTTAAGTAACAACAAAGGGCCGATAGATTCATGTGGAATTATGTGTTACAATAGGTTCAGTGGATGATTTTGATAAGCGGTTGTTTGTATTTGGCACAATGTTTCTTGAGCTGAAAACTAGCCTTGTTATGTACTGAATAACAAATCAATAGAATTTATTGTTTTTAGTCGATGTTGACAACATAGCGAGATGATCCTCACAAGACTTCTTTGCAAGTCATTGTAATTCACCTATAAAAGAAATATTTTTTACTTGTTATCATCCGCAGGTTGAAATACGATTTATTCAATGAACTTTGTGATCAGATTCCTTCAAGGGAAATAAGGAACCAACGAAGAGTTGCCTCGTTTCCAACGTGTTGCTCATTACTTATTTGTTTATAGCGCCCAATTGGACTCTGGGAGGCACGGATTCGGTTTGCCAGTGAGACCCCTTTTCTTCATTTCTTGTGCACTACTGTATTGCTTGTAAAATGATTGCACGTGATTGATGTTCATAGTAAGTCATTTCATTAGTTTCTGCACGGCGAGTTTTACTCCATGAGATATTTTTCCACTCTACTTTGCCAATCATAACTGATAATTTGCATTGTTTCAAATAAAAGTAAAGCTAATTCATTAAAGTGAAATTTTTAATATTTGAGCCATCAATCCAAATTTTTTGAGTTGAAAGAGTAAGTTTGTAAAAGTTGGGATTTGTAAATTTTCCTATATTTTCAATTTCAGTTGAATGTAGGTAACTTAACCTGTGGTATAGACATGATCAGTTCAGGCAGGTTTTGTGCAGGTTTTGTTTTTACCCTGTGAATGACTAAATGAACCATACAAAAAAGGTTGAGGAAGAATTTACCTCCAATTGCAATTCTATAAAACAAACGATAGTTGACGTTTTGAAGGTGAAGTGTTTGTGTCGGAAAAGAAGGACATAAAATGATACAATTACGATTAAATCAAGCTGCACATAACTATAACATTATCTCGTAGCATGAAATTACTTGATTTTTATCTCCGACCGGAAGAGACGCGAAGCCTTCGCGAAGATTATTGGCTTCGTTCAATCTGTCGCCACGTAATTTATCGAAAACCTTGAAAATTTGAAATTATGCCTGAATTATACCATTTCATCTAGAAAGAGAGAAGAAAGAGTTTTATTCTCCGATTCATGCAACTTTTGAAGTTCCCAAAATAGATTTAAGTCTCAAATACATATTTATATGACCATCTCTTTTCTCTTGTTAGAAACGTAATGAAACAATCGCTCTTGATGTGAAATTTTGATCATCTTCAAAATTCCAAATTTTCAGTTCTAAAGCAATTGAAACGTTTCTGTTATTTCATTTATTGATTCTCAAAAATGCAGCCCAATTTTTATTGCGTTGATTGAGCTACGACCCTTTCTTGGGAGAGTAATTGGAACTATTGCCAAATTGATTGGAAAGACTCTGACTGTTTTGACTCGTTTCACTGTCTCTAATTAACACCATTGCTGTAATATTGGGCATTTATGGAAGCGAATTCAATAACTACGCAAACCTTGGATTAACTTTCAAAATTAGAGTTGAAACTAACGATCAAATGAGTTCTTTATGAATACAAATTTAACGTTCAGGGTAAAATTCGCCCCTCTGTTTGTTGTTATTAAAACCTGCCTGCATCATTTTCAGAAAGCATGAAAAATTAATACCTGAACAATCAAAACAAACTGAAGTTTAATCAAACCAACAAATTGAAATTGTCAAGTTTAATTTATATTAGTTTCTAAAATAGCTTGAAAAAAGTTCAGCTGCACATGCTGGAAATTTTAATTTTAATCGTAAATTTTCTTTGGTCTGGTTTCATAACAGAGTATGATTTTTACTTTTACACGCATTTCTTCCTTCCTTTAGAAGCCGTAGCGAGCAGATGATAAACTTAATTCTTATGATTGTTCTTTGGAAAGTAATCTCTACTCAGATGATTCAGTTAAAACCCGGTGTGTTAGAGCTATCTCATTTTTTGGTTTAATTTTGTATTACAATTAACAATGCCGTCTTTGATTTTCTTGTAGACTTTGTGTCTGACGTGTTGAAGTGAACAATGAAGCATCAACAGACTTACGATTAGTCTCCGTCGAAGCAATTTAAACCGACAAGAAGCTGTGCAAATTTAGTTACAAGCCTTACCTTACCAAGGTGTTGATTTTGCCCTTTGTTTGTCAAAAGGATTACCAAGCTGAACTTCGAAAAGCCTTTGACGCGAAAGGTTGGTTTAAGTCGACGTAAAAATTTCCTCATTGTGTCTTTAGATCAAAGAAACTTACGATATGAGCGCCAACAGAAATTCTAGTTTGAATCCACCCGAGAAGTTCGACACCGCCCATATCGCCCTTTCGTGTACATTTGCGGTGTTGATAATTCTTCTAGCTATCGTGGGGAACACATGTGTCATCCTGGCGTTTAAAAGGTTCCGTCGACTCCGCCGTGTCACAAACTACTTTGTTGTTTCACTGGCCCTAACAGATATTCTGGTCGCTGTGATATCTATGCCAGTCTGGGCAGCTTACATAATATCTGGTCCATCGCTGTTTATACAAAGGCAGTTGATACAAATATTTTGGACCTCGACAGACATCATGGTCAGCGTGGCTTCGATATGGCACTTAACGTTTGTTAGTATCGACCGCTACTTATGTATTACGGGACCGCTGTATTACCATACACGTATGACCAGCCAGCGAGCTATATTAACGCTTGGGGCCATATGGTGCTACTCGATCATAGTGGCTTCTTTATCGCCCACTTTCTGGGAGTCGGATCTCTACACTTTGATGATGGTTGTACTGAATTATGCAATCCCTGTCATCATAATTCTCATTGCGTACGTGAATATCTTCAAAACTGCTCGCTATCAGGGAAAGCAAATCGAGTTGACCATCAATGGAAAGGCAAGGCGTTTTTCGATGAGCGCTGAGGTGAAAGCAGCGAAGACGCTAGGAGTGGTGATTGGCGCGTTCATTGTTTGCTGGTCTCCTTTTTTCGCGCTTAACTTAAACTACTACATCTGCCATTGTCCCCCTCCCCCTTTAGTTGTTTCAGTTACCAAGTGGATGCATTTTGGAAATTCCATGCTCAATCCGCTTATCTATGGAGTTATGAACAAGGATTTCAGATTTGCTTTCAAGAGGCTAGTTACAGACCATTTTAAGAAATCTTCTGGGTTCAAAGGCCGCAGCATGGGGACAACTGCAGATCAAAACAGCCATGGAAGTAATGAAGAAGAAGACAAGATTAATTTGCAAAGTGACACAGGACTATAGCTTTATTTACGTTGTTATTGTTTTTTATCGAGTATAACTGTGATTCTGACCATCTTCTACAAAAGATGAATGATATTTTTCACTAATGTTGCCTTCTGGGTTTAGAACACGCTTGGAACCGTTGAGGGGAATTTCATTACAATCGTATAAGTGTACTTTTGAAGTCTCCTAATGGAAAATATGATTAGGCCCTTGAAAAAACAATAGAGTATGCCAAAGAAGCTTTTTATGAAACTCGAGGAACGAACAAGACCTGGTAGCCATAGCAACGGTTAAGGATGCAACTTGCATTATAAACCGACGTCATACCTTTCAATATACTTTGTAAATATTTTCCCTCCTACAACATGTTAACCAATCTTATTTTAGAGCAGTTGCATTTCAGTATAATTATCAAATAATGGGGCAGAGATATCATAATGTGTTCTCAGTGCTTAATCGATGGCAAGTTGAGTTTACTTGATGTAATCCCAGGCGTCTAATAGCCCATAGATCTTTGTAGTCACTTAATAGCAGGAAAAGTCGTTGATATCAGTCAGGGAATCCGACGATTGAGAGAGCTCCACGGAAATTTCATTAGAACCAGAACATTTTGCCTTCTGTTTTGTTTGGCTTTGTGGGTGTAAAACCATCAATGTAGTCATATTTAAGTAATGAAATAAAACTTTGAGCCATATCAGCAGTGGGTTAGTTTCATGCTCCCCTCTTTTTTGAGCTCTCCTAAATCTGCTGTCACTGACCGGACTGAAGTTTTTTCCAAGTTTTTAAACTGATAAAATATTGATATTGATGACGTCATCTATTCTGTTCTTTTAAGTATTTTATAAGAACCAATCAAAATGTTTGCAGTATTAACATCCTTAGCGGTCCTTTTATTACTTATGTCTATCTAAACTTGAAAGGCAAACGTTGAGGTAATTTTTATTATAGCTTCGTTACCAAGCTTACTAGAAATATAATTGAATTTAACAGGTACACTTACCTCACTGAACTAAATTTAGATTTATCTCGGAAAAGTGAATAATTAACTTTTTGCTTTGTGATGAATTTGTAATTTGTAAGTGTATCTGGAAGTTAAGCGATTGGAACGTTTTTGTTGACTTTATCTGCTACATGAAAAGAGCACAAGAATGAAAAATTTTCAATAACGACTGTGTGCGCCTAAGGGGTTCGTTGCTTTGTGGTTAATTTCAGTGCATGCACGAATTGACCTTTGTCCCATTGTCTTCTAGGTTCATAAAAAGGGACAATACATATCACTAAAACAGTAAGGTTCTCGTCCATTTTAAGTGTGTCTAGCCAATTGCTTTTCATTTGTCACCAAAGGAGTTTGCATGAATATTTAGGTTTAATAATCCTTCGTTCCTCATGGACACTCATGTGCCACTTGGAAACAAGTCATGTATTTAAATGAAAATATAACAATGTTAAATTGTTTGGACAAAACAGCTTGAGCGAAATATCAATTACCACCATGAAACGTCAAAGACGAAAATCAAAATCAGTTCAGAAGTTGTTTAATGTTCCCTGAGCTGGCTTATCTAGGACACCATGCAAGGAGGAAAAGTAGATTGCCTGGAAAGTTTAACATGACGTTAAACCGAACAGACAAAAGGGGTGCCTAATTAAATTAAGCGTACACATCCTCAAGTGGTAAATCACCAGTAAGTAATCCAAAATGACAGCAAAGCTGTAGATTTTAATACATTACACGTCATTGCACCTAAGAATTGGCGCTGTCAACACGAGTAAAAAATTTGAGTCTTGCACGTATACGCTGCATTTTTTTTCTCGAGCAGGAAACGGCTTTGGTGCTCATACCAGGTTAGTATGCGAGCCACTGTGTTTGGAGACATGCATGTATCAGATGGCAAAAACTTTGAATCGAACCGAGGTTTTAATGTCATGCAATAACATTACATTCAGTTATTGTCTTTAGAGGCCACAAGTTTAGTTTTTTCAATCCTAGTCTTCATAAAGTAATTTGTTAATTAATCTTATTCAGATCCACGAATATATATGATGTCGAACTGGAGTACAAAAATATGATAACGGCTGATTTTTATCTCCGTTTGTTCTGCCCACCCGTCGGGCAAAATATCGTCGGCCATGAAAGAGCGAAGTAGACTTGCATGTCCTCTATGATTCATCTCTTCTTCATTCCGAGTTTCATAACGAGAGCGCCATCAATACTGCAACAATAGCCTCTGATTCTCACTGAATCAGAATTTATTTGTTTCAGGACTGAAGCAAGAATGTTTATTTGTTTTAAAATTTCCCCATAACTCATCGACTTAACACTCCATCCAGCCTTTCAATGACGTCATCATCAATAAGTTTTGTCAGTTAATTCCTAGTAGCACAGGAATCAAGAAGAAGAGAGAAATAAGAGGCCTCAAATGCTTCCTGATCCTATTTAACAGCTCGCACATTTTTTGACTGAAAAGAAAGTCTTGTGAGGCCTTGAGATATCTTTGGTAACTTATTATTATATTTATTTGTTCCTTTGTACTTTCCCTTTAATAACCGTCCTAATGGTCTTTTATTTCCTCGAAAGCTGCAAATCATTTAACCTCCGGGTTGTCATTTTGGCTTCTTGTTGTGTATTAAAATGACTTTTTATTATACAAAGACTGGGAGATATGAAGATTTAACAATGTGAGATTCGCTTTTTTGGTCGTAACATGAAAAGTTGACCAGAGACTTTTTATTGTACGAAGATTGAGAGATATGAAGACTTAACAATGTGAGATTCGTTTTTTGATCGTAACATGAAAAGTTGACCAAAGATGAACAATACGTTACGAGACAATTTGTATTATTGTAGTCGTTTCAAATGTAAAAAATTTGGCTAGAAATAAAGTAAACGAAGTTTTAAACCATATCTTCCATTGATCTTCGAGGAATTTGAATCTTTATTTCTGGTATTTATTGGATTTTGTAGCCTTCCAAACTTTCAATGCTCATTAGAATTTCACCTTGTTATTAAAAATTCGATTTTCGAAATGCAATCAGGTTGTTAAGATATTTCTGACAGTTGAATGAATAATCAAAAAAAGATGAAACATTTTCCTTTTAAAACCTTGATGAAAAATTTCTAATTTCTTTACGGCTTTTGTCGATTAGGCCATTTATTTTCCAATTTCAATGGAATATAAAAGATCAGAGCTAGATTAGCTAAACTTGTGCAATGCCTTTGTTCAAATAAATAATTTTCGTTCAGATGTTGCGTTGCCATGGCTTTTGTAGTTCATTATATGTATTTAAAGAAAATACATATAAAATATTTGAATTTTCTCCTTTGAAAACTTGCAGACTGGCTATTAAAGTGACAAATTTCCTGTCACACATGCTGAATTAATATTTTGTTCCTTAATTACATCCTCATAAGTTATTGAAAATGTGTTAAACGAAATGAATTCCGCTTATCAGCTCATGGGTCAGCACTGAACAGCTTGTCGACATATGGTATGAGACATTGACCAGTTCATGCTTCGCAACCTTGTAGTTATCAGGTTATCAGACCGGTAAGTCAAAATAACCCGTCAGATTTTTTTTTTCCACTCGTTCTAAAAGTTATAGAGGCAACACGAGGATAATCGGTGGAATAGTTCCGGCTCTGTGTTAAAATCACATGACAAAATCAAGTTGGCGAGTAAACACTTTCTTTGAAATCGTTCCAACGTTTTCTCATTTTGATCTTCTTTGCATGACAAGTCCAGTTTGCCCAATCTGTTTGCACCACTTTCTTTTAAGTAACATTTGAAACAAGCATAGGAAGTACTATAAAAAATATCATACATGTCGGACTGAGCATGATACAAGTTAAGTGTCTTGTAGCTAAATAAAAATACGGCGAAGAATCCCGCGTACGCTGAATGTCAATTAATTGCGAACCAAAAACTTAAATTCGTTCAACTACAAAATGTTTTTCTTTATAACTTTATTTCAGTTAACATTGTTCCAGTATCGATGACAAATAGAACAGCTCTATTCAGGAATTTCAAGCACAGATAGAAGTAGGAGACCAGCAAGGTAATAAGACTGAGATGTTTTGAGGAAAATATGTAAAATAGACCAGGACTGACTGAGGCGATAAAGGAAGAACTGAAAAATAACTCACAAATCATGGCAAAATCTTAAGTCACACTTGTAATAAGTCACTCTTGTAATATTTCTTATCAAGCCATATCTACGGTGAAATTCCAATTTTGAATTACAGTTCAAGCAGGTGGCTGTGTACGGAAGCGGTTTTTCTTTCGGGGTGCAATTCAGAAGTGAACTTCTTCTTGTTTTGTCTGATATGAGAACAGTTTAACATGAAGTCGAATGTGGTTCTTCAGTGTTCACGAGTTTTCCCAAAAAATCTAGTGTCCAACTGTTTGACTTGAACAGTTTGAGTGTAAAAGGGCCATTTATCTAAGAAAGTGTAAAGGCCTCGAGTAAGATATTGTTTCAAAATAAGGCTTTTTTTTTCTTCGCGTTTGCTGAAGTAATTCTACAAAATGATGCTTTGGTGTCCCAAAAATGAATCTTTCTGTTTTCAACAATTAACAGGAAGGTAAACGTTGAAAAATTACAAATTTGCCTGCTGCGGTCGACCGTTTGAGTTATAGGTTCCTGTTTGCGTGCTATCAAGTTGCCACAAACTCGGTTTCCTTTTGTTGCTCTTTGACAGCTCTCAGTTAATTCGCTTTCTGTATTTCCCGAATAAGACAATCCTTCCCTTTTTAAAGTTTTTTCATCTCTTTTGTTGATCTCCCATTTTCTTCCTTTATCCAGTCTTAATCTCTGTCTTGAAATCTGCTTCTTCATTCATTATTTTTTTCAATTCTAACAATGATGGATGATCCAAGTTAGGAACATGGCGCTAAGAGTTGTTATAGAACAGTTTCACGTCGGCCGTTATCCCACAAACGACGTGTACAAGACAATTACCGGAAAGCATTTACGTATGAAAATTGAACTTACATCTACAGTTTTAGTACTTTGAGTTTCCTATTCAAAAAAGCCGTTAAAGATTATGAGATTCTGCGGCTTTAGAATGGATTAAAATTCTCGTGAACTCAGTGCATAATATCCCCCTTCAAGTGATCGTCAGTCACTCAATGCAAGAATCACTTCGATAAATTCAAAAGTGACAGGAAATGCAAGAAAAAAAACACATCTATTGATATCAACACATTTTAGTTCAGTCGAATACGACAAAAGGGTTTTAATAGTTTTTTTTTATCTGCCGCAACTCACGAGAAACTTGAACTTGCCAATTTATTTCGATGTTTTGTGATTGAGCGATTTTCGATTGAGTGACGCAAAACCAAAACCAAAAAAAATAATTTATAGAACGAGTGAGACCTTAAAGTAAAAGCAAGTGAACTGCCTAATGCGCGGGAAAGCGCGGGCGACCAAGTCGTGATTGGTCGAGATAGTGGCGAAAATTTTTGGACCAATCACAAGCCAATGTAAAGCAAAACCATTGCAATTCCGGACTACTTTCGACACTCAATTAAAATCAACTCGAGATCTTTTTTGCATCGATTCCAGTAGAATCATAAGGGGGGGGGGGGGGGGGGGGGGGGCTTTTCTAGTCACTATGTATAAGGCGAATAGCTTTAGTTATCTGCATCGTGAAGAACTTTATCTTCTCGCATTTGCCCACCAATTACAACTTGATTCTACCGCAATGAAGAGACGGGAATTTTGAGTACCACAAATTCTTAATAACAAAAGCAATAGTTATCGTGGCTGAAAGCTTTACCAAGATTTTAAGGAATCGAAAGTGATGAAACCCTCTTCGTTGCGTCGAATTAGTATAATCCTCTGCACTGAAACTGTAAGATAGTCAGTAATTTATCTCTATGATCATGTAATGTAACCACAATTTAAAAAAAAACCAATGGAATGAAATTGAAATATTTTTAGAACAAAGAATCCAAATTGTTCAAACAAAACATACATGCGTACATGGATGATAGCGTGCGAAAGCCAAGAAAGCGAGTTAATGGCTTCGTAATGGATCTTCCGACTGTAAATAACCGCCGACAAACCAGTGAAATATTAATTGAGGGTTTCATTATATGCATTCACAAGTCCCAGGATTCGCGGAAGAAACTTAATTAATAGGTGGCAGATTGTGATGTCGTGAGAGATTTAGGTTTTTAATTTACCCTTGAGTGTTCTTCGGTAAGTGCTTTTCCCGGCATGGTCAATTATTAAACGGTCACTTAGAGATATTACAGATGCCTCAAGGATTTCACTTACTCATTAATGTGCATCTGTAAGTTAAGTTTTGACGTCGGCATGATTAATTTGTCCATCATGGTCTCAGATTTAAATATTGCTGGTGTTTTAAGGTTTTACATTACGTAAAAACAGAATTGAAGCAGAAAGACTGACGACCTCACATTTTGCTTACAGTGTGGCATCTTGAACTGAACGGCCGTATCCTGCAAGACTGAGTTCAAATATATTAAAGGGACAATTGAAAGAGGAAAGGAGAAGAAAAAGAGGAGGAAAGAAAGAAGAGGGAAAGGGAACAGCCGGATATGGCAAATGGTAACCGTTCAAATTCATCTTCAAACTCCCTTAGAGAATTTTCTGACGATTTCCGCATTGGAACGGCCACATTCACCATTGTTCTCATCTTGGCTACAGTATTTGGAAACGGTCTCGTTGTTGTCGCCTTTTCACGCTTTGCACGCATCCGTACAGTGACAAACTACTTCGTCGTGTCATTAGCGTGCTCTGATCTCTGTGTGGCGTTATTCTCTATTCCTGTATGGGTGGCATATCTCCTGACAGGACCCCTGTGGGTATTTGGCGCAGATTTGTCACGTGTTTGGACCATGGTGGACATCTTGATAGGTACCGCGTCCATCATGAATTTAATGGCGATCAGTTTTGATCGGGTTCTTTCCATCATGACTACAATGCGTTATTCTGTCATCATGACTTCACGGAGAGCGATTTTTATCATTTGCTGCGTTTGGATCTATTCTTCGTGCATGGCCACTGCGAGCTTTTTTCTGTTCGCCAAGCGCATTTTCAACCTCGTTGCCACGATCATGTGCTTCTGCGTTCCACTGCTGGTGATAATCAGTGCATACTCAATTATACTGAAAGTGGCACTATATCACGTGAAACAAATACACGCAACAACGCCTGCGCAGTACCCAAGGAGTCATTGCAACTTTTTAAGGGAGCTCAAAGCAGCCAAGACTTTGGGAGTTGTTGTTGGCGCGTTTGTGGTATGTTGGCTGCCATTTGTTGTGATAAACATCATTTACAGTTTATGCGAGCAACAACACTGTCTTCTGGTTAATCCACAAGTCATATTGGTGACCAAGTGGATGCATTATGGTAATTCAATGATAAATCCCATTATATACACTGCCATGAACAATGACTTTCGGAAAGCTTTCAAGACTTTAATTTTTGCATCAGATGCTACCCTTGAGGATGAAATACCGTAGTTACTCACAAAAATTGAACAAACTGAGACGAGGAAAAAAAACAGTGGCCAACAGGAAGAAATTATCTATTAAAGCTCTGCCCAAGCTAAAAACTTGCCCAAAATTGTGTTAAAAAATAGAAAACGAACTTCGTATTGCTACGCTGGGTGTGAAAAATTCACCATAGTTTCAAAACGTCCACCAGTCCCCCTTTATTGGAAATTTAATTCGCACACGTCAGACTGACATTTTCAATTTGAAACCGCTGACAATGTACAGCACAACAACCAAGGGCCCTTGTGTGATAACCTAAGTGCAAAGTGTATGAGCCCCGCCCGAGAAAGTAGGCTAATTTGTGCGCAAACATCTTTTTCTGCTATTCTGGTTAATGTTCGATCTGAAAGGAATGCATGTACGGGTTGATAAGTTAAAACAGCAGCGTAAAAGCGTCTTGATTTGAAGCGATCGATTCATCATCTATCTTACGTGTTAATATTTTCAAGAAAAATTTTGGGATGTCACGCAACGCTCCGCGCCACAACGCTTCTTAAGGGGAACATTGCATGACATCCCAAAAAACAGCTGCTAAGGAGACTAGATTTCATATTGATTCGAATTTTTCTCTCAATAAACAAAGAAATCAGGCTTTAACTCTCTTCTCTGCTGCAAGTATCTGTACCATGACGTTTTAATCGATTCAGATTAAAATACGTACCTCTGTGAGGTGTTCAGTGCAGTCTCCCTGACTCTTCTCATGTGACTCTTGCATTTCTGGAAAAAGTTCGGGCCTTTTCCCATTTGCAATCAAAGTTTTCAAAGAAAACTCCTTAAGGGATCATGAGCACCTGAATTTTAGCCAACTACCAGTATGCATTCGCCAGAATAGCTTGTACCATCAAATTAAATTTTTCACCCCTGAGTTTCGTGCATTTTGCCATCGTAAAGGTCGAGAGATTGTAATCTCTTATAACAGTTAAATCAGTTATCGGACTGAACTGTGCACCTCAGGGGTTTTCAAGTCAGCGTTATTCTCCGCGCTCGGCCAATTTAAAATCACTCTGTCGATTACTCCCTGAATTGTACTCCACTCAGCCATTAGCATTCGAAAACGTAGCGGTTGGACTCGTTTCACCGTTGCATGAAAGTAAAATTAGGCTTGTCTATAGATTGTGCTGTTACTCTGTCAACCTTCTATACCAAAAAATGATCACAACAAAGAACAAGCAAAGCCAAGGAAAGTAACAGGATTTTCGAAAAAAGTGGAAACATTAGCCTATCGAAGAATCAATGTTGACAAGATAACGCAGCCGTTTTGAGCCTAAACTGCAAGCAGTCCCTCCTTTTTGACGAAATCCGTCGTGCGAGTCAAGAAAGTTCAGCAAAAGGAAAATCGAAGTTACCACGCCTCACTCCCAGAGATCAGTAAGCAAGGCGCGCAAACATTGAATTTTTTTCCTGAATTTTTCTTACTCGCGCGACGGATTTCGCCTGTAGGCTATTTTTGGCCACGTGTAATTGCTTTTGTTTATACGTTTAATCCGCGATGAAAAGGTTCGAGTTACATGCGCTCGGATACTTTGTCCAGTAAGCTGATCGCGTTCTTTTGTATAAGGAATACATGTAAGAATATGCTCAAGGCTGAAAAGTTTGTTTAGAGCATATTTTTGTGTGCAGTAGAAAATTAAATGTACTGAAGTCACTCAATGTTGAAAAAAGTTTTCTGTAACCATTGAAATTTTTGATAGATTAGACCGTTTCTTCGAGAAATCTGGCTTTTTACCGTATTCTCTGTAAAATCCATTACATATCTTTGCTCACGCACGATTTGCATTAGAGCGTGACCTGACCAAATATGCTAAAAATATATATAATAAAATATATCTAAAACTTGGCCAGGATTATTTCACAATATTACTTAGGTGACCTTCCCTAAATTTCAAATCTTACTCTAATACAATGGAAGTCTACGTATAAAAACTGATCTAAGATTTTTTGCGTTTGATTGTTAGTTTGGCCAATATAAAAATGTAAACTAACATTTTGTTCTGCACACTGAGAAATCTTTCAAGCATAAGAAATGGTCACAGTAGTTTAAATATCATTCGATCTGATTAAAATCCTCCTAGGCTTAGTATTGTATCACATCGGTCTATCACACAACGGTCTATGCAGTGTGACAGTGGTTTGCGTGACACATGCAAGCGATATTATGTCTCAAAATTCTGTATTGGTTTGGCTTGAAAAGCTTGTTATAAGAGTTAAATATTGAATAATTTTCTGTAAAGATATTTAGTAAACAGGCCTATTATTCTTCACAATAGAAAATTCTCTCTCAAGGAGGATCGGTCGGTGATCTCTTGTCGGTAATGAGTAAACCACAATAGTAACGCCGCTATTATTACGAAAGCTTTCTTACTGGCTAATATAACTGTGTTACCTTGCCATATGCTCCACCATATGCAAATATAATGTTGTTTACAATGAATAGGAAAATATAAAACTACAGCAAAACCTTTTGGTGTTAAATGCACCAAACGTTGCTTTCGTATTTTAAGTTGCGAATTTCAATTTTAAAGTTTAAATGGTTTGCCAGTTCCGAGTATAATTTTTTTTTGATCCGAGTTGATAAATATTCAAACCAAATCAAATTCAAAACTACATTAGATATTTAGTGAATTACAGATTTAACTCAGAGGCAGTCGTGCTTTTTTATTGGGTGACATTTGAACAGGTTATTGGCACATATGCTTCGTCGTCACCTTATATGGAAAATAACCTCGTGTTTACAATTTCGTTTCTTTCACGCCAGTGTTTATTGCTGCGAAAATCATGGCGGTTGCAAGCAATCGATTTGCAGAATTACCGCCCGAGGAAATACAGAGATTATTAGACAATGCTACAGCGAAGTCAACAGTGAAAGCCACGAAGTTTGGAATGAAAATATTTTACGGTGAGTTTTGTTACGCTTTGCTACAAAGGTTTATGAAAACGTCTCGAATGACACAAACAAAATGTTTTGTTTCAGAATGGCAGGCGAGCCCTGGTGGTGCTAAATTCTCGAAACCAATCGAGGAAATGTCGAAAGAAGAGTTAAATGTCTGCTTGAGGTCCTTTTATACCTCAGCAAGAAAACAGGACGGCAGTTATTACAAAGCGACTTCGCTAAAATCCATTCGATCTGCAATTGACCGCCATCTTCGAGCTCCGCCTCACAACAAGCCTTTCTCAGTCATTGCCGATGCGGCGTTTACAGAGGCAAACAAAGTCCTTGGCGCCTTCGTCAAAGATCTGAAATTATCTGGCAAAATAGAAGCTACTATTCACAAGAAGGCCATGACAAGGGAACACGTTCAAAAATTATTTGATAGCGGTCAACTCGGGCCAGCTGATAGCAAAAATCCGTCGCAGCTTCAGCGTACAGCATGGTTTTATGTGGGGCTGTATTTCGGTCGGCGGGGACGGGAAAGGCAACGTTTTCTGAAGCGAGATATGCTTGTCCATAGAATGAGAGATGAAGGAGTGGAATATTTTGAGCTTCACAGAAAAATGACTCCTTCTTTACCATCTACCACTTCCGCCGACGCTGATGACGAAGTGGAATCTGATACAAAGATTTTTGCGGTACCTGGCTCCGAAAGATGTCCAGTAAATACGTTGAAAAACTACCTAGCACATCTGAATCCTACCTCTGACGTGCTGTTTCAAAGGCCCAAAGATAGCCACAGCGCAAGGTTTAACCCTAAAGACACCGTCTGGTATTCGCCTTCACCCATTGGAAAGACATTTCTTAGCTGCTTCTTAAAGGAGATGAGCAAACGAGCTGGGATTGTGCCGCATCTCACCAACCACTGCTTAAGAGCGACCTCTGTCGCTGTTTTATCGCACGGAAATTTGCACAGCCTAGCACCTACTGCGGAATCATCAACTTTTGAGGTGGAGCAACGCAAATCTTCGCTGCTGAGCAGTTTTGTTACCGCCGGCCAAGCTCCACAGCATTGCTACACAACCCCTAGCCGTGATGCTGATCAAAGAGTCATAGGAACAATGGTGGAGATCCAACAAGAACACCAACCCGGTGGAGAGATAGTTTTTCAGGTTCGTAAGTTTCCAGTTTTATTGAAAGACAATCAATCCGTTGCTGTGGCAAATGTTCCCGCCGAAAGCAATTTGGCGCAGAGTGTGAAAACAACTCCTATCCTTCCCAAACCAGTTTAAGTATATTTACAGTAATTGTTAAAATGAGATTTTCATACAAATAGCAAAATGTTGTGGAAGTTCTACGAGTTTTTGTTTTTTTTTTCTGGGTGAATAACAGTTAAGAATAGAAAAGAGCTCGCTGATTAAAGCTAAGTCGGATGGAATTTTTTATACGGGAAAATGTTAACAGAAGGATCAAGCGAATTCTACTTTTATATGTACGTAAGACTGGACCTTTAAGACTCGTTTCATCTCTCAAAAGTTATAGCCATTCATAACTGTCGTTGAATTTGCATACAGAGGCAGTAATTTCATTTCAAGCGGTCAACACTGCTCTTATAGGGTCAACCCTTTCACTCCCAAGATCTCATTAGTAATTCTCCTTACTATCTGCCATACAGTTCTTGTGATGTTAGTTTGGAGAATTTGGTATAGGATCAACTAATAATCTCCTAATTAATATTTTTCTTTATTCTCATCACTTGTCTGCTTGATATTGCATTGATATTGTAAGGAGAAATTCTGTCTTGGTCACTCATGGGAGTTTAAGGGTTATGGGGTGATGGCTTTTTCGGCTAACGTATGAAATTCCTTTGTAACTAAAAGAAAAAACTTAACTGTTAACTCTTTTTGCGACTGACGGTTAAAATTTGTCAATTTTTACGCCTTATGGATAAATCTTTTGGCCGTTTGACGGCCAACGGTTCAGTTCATTGAGACCATCTTTACGTTCTTGAGGAGTTGGGTTGGAAGCGAAGAAATTTTCACGAGTTTTTTTTCTGCCGTTTTTCTCCTTCATAGACATATTCTCTGTTCGATTATCTTTGAAATACTTGTCTTTCCAACTTTATTCACGTCATATCATAACTTCACGCAGTGTAGATATTTTTTTTGGGGGTGCTTATAACCCTTTCAACTGTAAGAGGGACCAGCATCTAATCTCTCCTTACAATAATATCGCCAAATCATACATTAAAGTCATGAGAATACAGAGAATGATCACCAGTTATACAAATTTCTCCTCGTGAGTACCAAAGGATAGGGTAGAGTATGGAGAAGATGGATACTGATGTTAGGGTGTCAAGGGTTAATCGCTTCCGTGCAGTAATGAATGGTTGAGATTATAAGTTACATTGAAAAGTTATATATTTAACCCGGCAACAATTTGCTCTGTAAATATACAGACTGTTTATCTGTTTTCCGATGTTGGTGTAGAAATTGTCGTGCACGTTTGAAACTATTCTCGCGACCATTTGCTGGCAGATAAATGCCAATATCAGGAGCAATGTTCAATGTTTACCATTACGCCGTTTATATCTATATAATACTTGTGTAACTCGGCGAAAAGTTGAAATAATTTTAGTTGATATTTTCATGGTTAAATTAAAGAATGAATTTCAACTGTCATTGTGAATGGCACTGTTTGCTTGTGTGCATTGCTGAGAGCCTTAACCATTATGTTACGTTTACTAGGAGCGAATTGTCCATCAGGCGCGAGTTGTTCAAAGCTGGGTTAAGACAACCTAGGGTAAGTGTGAACTTGATTTGAGGTCTGAGAGCTTTAAAAGAAAACTCAGTTCAAATGCTTTTGCTTGCAATTTGATCACTGGATGTTCTTAAACAAAAATATGGAAAATTTTCCCTTAAAAGGCTTTTGAACAAAGAAATAAAGAGACCTGGATTTACTATTTAACCCCTGAGAGTGACTAGCATCTAATTTCTCCTTACAATATCACCACTGAATCACACATTGATGTCATGAGAATAAAGGAAACGATCATCAACTCAAGAAACTATTGATTGTTAGACAAATTCTCCTTATCAGCACCTTAGTAAATGTACAGAGAACAGTATGGAGAATATGAAAACTGATGTTAGGGTGTAAAGGATTAAATTTAACCCTGGGTTAGCGCTAATCGGCCTTCGAACAATTGGAGATTATTGGGGAAGGATAGGGATTTTGGATGGTACAAGAATTATTTTTTTGAATATTTTATTTTTTATATTTTTGGCTTTGCCCGACCCACAAACCCTCTCCCCTAATCGCTTTAAGAATATAGGTCATCTCTACGGAGGTGAAAATGAAGTGCAGTAAAGGATTTGAAACCCAGACGAGCAGTTGATCGTGTAGTATGATTTTCCAGTTGAGGGTTTTTTCTAAAAAGGACTGTCGTCGATGACAGTGAATAGGGACCTCAAGTAAACCACGACAGCGATGGCAATAAGGTCGCGGCAAAACGAAAGATCTAATGGACAGAACAATAGCTCAGCACGTGTGTTTTATAAACTTTGGACATTTCTTAGTCGTCTTCTGCAAAACTCCAAAAGTGCATGACCACGAGAAAGGAAACTACGACGGTAAATTATTTAAGTTTCTATTTAGAACTCAAAGCTGCCCTCATATGTATTTTCCTGAAGTTCAGGTGTGACACCGTTAGAGACGATTAACGCTTCCACCCATTCGCGAAAATATTACCAAAAATATAAAGAATTTTTTAAATCGAGGTTTTCTTCGGCCTTGTCGCTTTGACTGATCAAGGTCCCAATAACTTCTCGACAAATTAGGCGACTAAATCATTAATCTACAGTAAAGCTTTTTTGCAAAATGCTTGAGGACGCCGTGTTTTTTCTGTCATTGCAAGTCAATCGGCACCTTTTTTTCCCTCTCATCCGCTGTATTTGACCAGATTGGTCTGACAAGCGAGTTTTGTGAAGTTTCTTGTTCTTATTTTGGGTTCTCATAGCTTATCGGGATGATAACCTATGTCCTCGGCTTTTACACTGATTCAACCCAAAAATACTATAATAGATACAAGTATACATGTACTTTCGGGTAAAAGTTTCACAAACTTGTCCCTGTACTTTTGTCTAGGTAATTACATAGTTCCGTCGTTGCAGCGTTTCCTTTATCTTGAGTTGATGATCTGATTTTTAGAGAAGTTAACCCCCAACTTTTGATGCTGGATAGTTGCCTCTCGATATCTGACCTTGTCACGGGCTGTGCCTTTCCCGTCACGCTAGAGTATGTTGAGGTGAAGAGATGTCTAAAGGCAGTCTTGAACTGTTTGTTCATTAGACCGTAGATGATTGGGTTGAGAACTGAATTAAAGTAGTGAAGCGCTTTGGCCACCATTACAGCTCCTACTTGAATAGGACATGTACTACAACGAAAAGGAGTGATACTTACTGTAACGTAATTAATGCCTTTTGACAGAGTTACCACACAACTCATCGTCAGCCACCTTAAAGTCCGATCATTATTCTTCGCCTAGAGGATCGGAAGACCCCTCCCGCTCCCCCCCTGATTGGCAGTTAAATTAACAAAATTTGTAGAGTCTCCCTCTAATACTCTGTTAACGACGAATGCCCCCCCCCCCCCCAAAAAAAAAAAATAACCATGAGATCTCCCCCCCACAAATCCTCCTCCAGCCAGGTGATAAATATAACTGGCTCCGGTTAACTGAAAATAAGAGGTGTTATATCCGTGGTCTGAAATTTGATCCCTCATGGGCCTTAGAATTTGCAAGGAGCAATTATGCATGATTTTGGAGTTACACAAATGACACAACTTACCGACAAAGAGCGTTAAAGAAATTTAGAAAGAAGAATGGGAACCAACAGAGCACAAAAGCCCCCATTACCACTCCTAGCGTCTTGGCAGCCTTCAGCTCTTTTGGGAGGCAGAACCTTTTGGTTTTTTCTCCAATCTTGAGCAGCATTTTCTTCGCCTGTGTACGAGAAACTCTGAAAATCATAATGTAGGCGTAACTCATGATAAAAACAGGCGCGGCAAAACAGAGTGAAAACGCTGTCAACTGGTAAGCTGCTGAGAATGACATATCCCAGGTGACCAGTTTGATGATGGTCATAGTCAGCGCGAAGGACCACGCTGCACAAATTGCTACACGTGTCTTGGGCGTGGTCACAATACTGTGGTACGTCAGCGGAGAAGAGATGCAGATGTAGCGCTCTATGCTGATAAGTAGAAGATGTGAGATGGAGGCCACACTGCATAAAATGTCCATCGACTGCCAGATCTTCTTTAGCCACAAGGAGAAAATCCATGGTGGCCCTGTTAACAGATATGCCGCCCAGACCGGCATGGAAAACATGGCGACTAGGATATCTGTTACTGCTAGGGACACAACCAAGTAATTGGTAACGTTGCGTAACTTCCGGAAAGAAATAAACGCCCGGATGACGAGCGAGTTGCCGAGAAGGGTAAGCAGAATGATGATAATCAGCAGGAAAGTGGATATAGATCTCACTGTGGAGTCAAATGGTTGCGTTTCGGCGATAGGGATTATTGTGGAGTTCGTTGCTATGGTTACCGTCGGGTTTGCCATGTCTGTGATCCTCTGACGAAGGATGTACAAGCTCCAATATGTCTGAATTTGAAATATAACATAAATGAAACATTGGATAAAATTAAACCAAGAGCACTGATAATCACAAGGGCTTTTTAGAGAAAAAGAAAATTTCACGCGGAATCAATAAAAGCGAAAAATTTAATTGTAACGAATGCCCACGTCGCTGCTAGGTTATGTTTTGGATTGAGTTGTGTTATTATTATGTTAAGTTTTTGGTTGAAAGTGTGGCACGAGTTTAGATTAATCACGAAAATAAGTAATTCAAGACCGTGGCGATCCCAGGTTGCTTTTAAAATTTAACTGGACAGTTTTCTATCAGATTCAGATGGTCTCAATGGGGTCAGCTGTAAACCGTTAGACAGCAAACACTTCGCTGTCAGGCGTGAAAATTGACATATTTTAACCTTTGGTCGTAAAAGCCATTACCCCATTGAGACTTACCAATATGTTCGATCTGTATTACTATTAAGACTTCTCAAAATCCCTCGCGGTGTTGGGAAATTTTGTTCTTTCTCTTCCTTTCAGTTCACCATTCGCATTTCAATTTGTATTAGGTGCTAATGTCCAGTAAGAAATTTGAACAAATAAAAACTGTTATGAATCACGCACGTTTACAAGGTATCAATCAAAACGACGAGTTTCTTGAATTTTAACAAGCTTGTGAGACAGAAAAGGACACTCTTCAGTCGCCATCGAAGGAAGAAGACGTCGTTCTGGGCATAATGACGTTCTTGGCATAAATAAATGTCTCTTCATCTGCCAATTCTCGAAACAGCTTAGGAGTGAATCAAAAACCGGACTTTTCGTTTGTTGAGTTCATGTCATTGACATGAAAAATCCTGCTCCTGAATCAAAAAATAACAGTGCAACTTGCAACCACAAGTGGTGACCGTTCTACTCTAAAACGACTTTGTGCAGGCGCTCAAGTTTAAGTTACCTTACTGGGATTAAAGCCCGATCGAATAATTTTTGTCCCAAGACGTGTACATTTCCATAAGAAAAAAAAACCTATTTCTTCCATTTCAAGGCCTAAAATGAAAACATTTTAAAATAAATGAATTTTCATAATGACCGGCTTTCGTTTGATGTTCAAACCTAGTCGCAAAAATGAAATGAAATAAAATAAACAAGAACAACAAAGAAGGAAAAACATACGTATCGCCAAAACATAACACACATATGAATTTGATTTGACTGAGATGCAGGTGTCTCTCTTTCCAATTTCCCCAAGCGGGTCACGTCCTTGAATTAAGGCAGCGAGCGCTTTCACTGTTTCCTGACTATCAATCCATTATTGATGCCATTTGCAGTTTCTAGTGCAATTTAGTGTACTTAAAAGTATTAGGCATCGAACATTCTTAGACCGACAATGAACACTGATTGCATTTAATTGACAGGGCGTGATTCACAGAAAAGCCATGAACTCCGCAATTTGATACTTCATGAAAAGAAAATGCTTCCGTCGTGAATTTACATTTCAACCGTCAAATGTCGGATATACGCTATCACTCCTGTATTTGCCAAAAACTAGAGTGTTACTTATTCATCAAACTCCTGGCTTGAATATCATGAGTTATGTCACGAAAAAGTAATGGTTTCAAAAAATTATTGAAATATAGGATACACGAATAGAGTATCGATTTCGGCCAGTCGTTGTGTATAAATGCACGAAATGTGAGTTACTTCGTTAAAAAAATTATTTTGAAAGATCTAAATTTTCGTGTTTTGCTTTAAGTTAGGGCGCTAGAAATGAAGAGAAATTTTATCATGATTTGTAAACACCAGATGACACTATTCACATGAAAAGGTAAATAGTTTACCATGTTTGGTGCTGGCGTTTTTTTGTTCAGCGGCCTCGTTCACAATCTTAATTTGAAACTGTTTTCTTTCGTGAAAAAAAAAAAAAAAATTCGGCAACAATCATATGGCATGCATCGAGTTGGGTTCATATCTGCACTCAAAAATCGTTTTCAATCAGTCTTTGGCGACCACTTACTATTTTAAGTTTCATGGTGCTAATGTATGCTGTTGGAAGCTTGCCGAAAATTTGATTAAGCAGATACTGTGCATGCACTAAAGAATATGATCAAAAATACATTTTTTCTAATTGTTTTTCAAGGCAACTCTCAGCGTTTTCTAAATACTTATGTCCGAGTCCTTACCCGCCAAGTAATGGTGTAGCAGTCTTAATCAAAGGTGTTTTAGAGTGAGGCAAAAGCTTTGTGGTGATCTATTTCTTTTCAAGATTTTTAGAGCTGCGCTCCTTACATATCATAACAAAGTTTCCGTTTAGTTTGTTTTGTTCACGAGGGTGAATTTCAACATGGATTTCGTGGAGAGGGAATAAACAAATGGTTTCGCAAACTTACCTAAATCTTGGATCGATTCTAAATTTTAAACCGTGATTTTAGTAAAATCTGTCCGGACAATCAATTGACCATGTGTGCTGTGGCAGTTTTGATCTGAAGGTTAAGTGATCCTCACTAAATCCAATGCTCATTTGAATCTCTTGCAGATTTTCCCAATCGATCTTTTCAAAAAACACTTTTAAAATCAAACATGCATGTCACGTATAAACCGCAGCTAAATTTCCTCAGGGTTTTCCGGCCGTCAAAAGCATGAAAAATCATTGATTCTCATTAACATACGTCAATCTTTCAAATATTAAAGAAACCTTTCTAACCTCACACAATTTTTTATTGGCTTTGATATGAAACTGACAAAACGTGGTGAATTCTAACTGCAAATTAACATAGTACATGTTCTAAGGATCCATTTCAGTCATCTGGTTCACTACGAAATAATCATCTTTATCATTTGTACACGCATATCTGTCACACCATTTGCGATTAAAAAGAAAATCGTTTTATTTATCTGAAAGCCAAGAATCGATATATTAGGTAAAGTAGTCAGTTTCGTGTAGTTTGTGTGCAGTTCAATCTATACTACAGATATAATGTCACTTGCGTCAAAAAATACAACAAGCGAGAAGCAATTGCTAGGTTTATCATGATCCTGTTCAACATTACCAAAGCCTCTTTTACAAGTGTTATTGACAATGCTTATGTTTCGGTGCTTAAAAATGTCCATGATTTGGCAAGTTTTCCTGGCCTGTCTTGTCCTTGGTGTCTTTAAGAGAAAACTTCGACGACCCATTTCAACTGACAACAAAGGTTATTCTTGGCAAATCTCGTGGACAATTTTCAAACAATACATTTTCAGTTAGAAAGGTGAGCCTACCATAACCTGACATTTTTTTTTTTCAGTTTTGCCTCTTCCATATGGGTAAGTCTTTTTGTTGACTCTTGTTAGGCATTAATTTTATTTTTCAAGTGCTCATATTCAAACAATGACACAAACTTATTTACACTCTAGACACTGGAAAAAAAGGAACTTGCTAACATGTTTTTTGAACACTGTGCTTAGGGAAAAAATTGCTTGCAAACCTTGTGAACCATGAATGACAATCGGTTTATAGTGAAAAAATTTCAGATTTAAATGACCGAGTGGTCCCAATTCAAAATTCAAACGCAAACATTAATAGCCGCTATTTTGTCACTAAATAGTTAATGAATTCTAACCTAGAACCTTTTGTTTTAAAGACTGTAAAATTGACTAAAGCAAATTAGCGCTTTCTGGAACGAATTAGGAAATGGAACTCAGCTTTGTCTACTCAGTTCCTCGAATCTGTTTGTTGAAGTTTTCTTCGATCATTTTCCCATGGCGTGGGAGAATTATTAGGAAGTTACGAATGAGGCACTAATTAACTGGGGTTGTTTGTTTGCAATAGTTAGAAAAGCAAAACTTCTTTCTGTCTGAGCAAATGTTTCCTTAACACAAGGCGTTTTGTGATGTAAATTCCATGATTTGCAGCTTTTTTCTTCGTGCTCACGAAAAACAAAAGTACCAGTGAAAACCATGCCATTTTACAGTATTTCGTTTCGAATCCATAGTTTTTGTCATTTATTGTTTAGAATTGAAGTGAAAATTAGAGGATTATATGCAACCCCTGTATATTGTGGCAGACTAGAATTCTTGTTTTAATTTTTTAGCAAAGGAAATTAAAAGTCGCTCATTTTTCAAAGCGATAACATCTCCAAGCGTTTGAAACTTCTTTAATTTTCGAAAAATCACTATTTGTTTTTGTGCCGCTTTAGTTTCCAATCACCGTTTCAAATTTTTGGGAATCAAAGAAACGAGATTATAGCTCGTTTGGCACGAATCTTTATTCCTCCAACAGTTGCATTTTTATATGATTTGTCGACTATCATATTTATTTATTCCGTTCTTGGCTTCCTTTTCAGTGTTGCCCATTAATTTTGCAGACCAGACGCTCTAGTTGTATTGTATGTTACGATTTTCGTGTTATTTTTTGATTTGCACCTGTAATGCAGCTGCGCTGATTTGTTTTAGCTTGAAATGTTCCCTGGTTCAAAATGAAAATATATTTAGATTGATAAATACTCAATTCATTTGGCATGCCTGTCTTTCTTCTTGAAATTTAACTGTAGTGGGTCTAGTGGGTGACATATTTCTTAGCAGTTTATTTAATCATTAATTTTAGCTATAATTGTGTCTTTCACTGCTTTCTGACTCTTGTTTCGCAACTGCAGTTTCAGCTTAACACTTAAGGGTCTTTGAAGTTAGTTCGTAAACAGACACATTAAAGAGCCGACTCATATTCGATTTTACTAAATATCCAGCTCGTTGGCCGGCAAGGAATCTTTTGTTTCCATTTCATTACTGCCGAAAAAAAATGAAAGCACCATGATCGAAATAGCAAAAAAGATATCCCGAATCTTTAAATCCAAGATTGCATGATGCTTGGACTGTTTCAAGAGTTTCTCGATATCTCGTTCGATTAATCGAGTTAATGCAGTCGGCTATCGTTTATGCGCGGACTCATGAGACATCGTTAATTCTTTTCTACTTCTAACGCAATCGCTTTCCTATAATAATTTTCTACCATAACTTGCGATACTGCGGGTTAATCCACAGTCTAACATATTCTCCCCACTAACCTGAAAGATTTTTAATCGGCGTTGTGCCTTGTTGTTAATTAACGGCCAGTAAATCGATTGATTGAAATAATTTACTAGGCCAAACTTTGATGGCTTGCACGGGATCAAAGCAGTTCGTCCTTGTTCTGAGCGCCGACTTTTCGCAGACTGTATGACAATTTCGACACCTGCGTTTAACCCAAAGACGAAACAGCTTGAGGGAAATGATTCTTTGTTTCTGTGGGACTTTTATGGCTTTTTTTATATCCTTCGAAAAGCTTCCAACTGTGATCTCCACTCGACTATTTGAAGTTTTCGGGCGAAACTCGTTTAAGGCAAACAGGTGCAGAGTTTGTTTTTGATGAACGAAAATTGGCGGCCCACAACTTGACGTGCACATTTCTGAGCTAAAAATTTACATAACAGTTCCAATTAATCCAAGCAGGATCTTACATATTCTGCTTTATATATATTTTTTTATACAATTAAGTGTGACCAAAAAATATTTGCCCAGTATCTCACAAAGAACTTAATCGTTCCCTACAGTTGCGAAGCTTTTAAACGAATTTGTGGTCGTGCTTTTAACAAAGCACGGGGATTTTAGGTTAAAATTTTTAATTAGGCCCGGATAAGTTTCGTCGAAAACATTATCTTCTCAAATTGTGTTTTTATATTTCAAACAACCGAAGTGATGAGAAGGAGTCCGATGTAATTATCAAACAGAAAATTTCAAAACAACTTTTAATCGTTCCTGTTGTTTCATAATGTTTGCAGAAATAGACTCAGTTTATCTGTGAAGTATTTCTAACAATTTTACCTAAGTAAACTGACGCAGATTAATAATGTTTGAGGCCAATTTCTTTCTCTTGGTCTGCTCTGAAAGTAGTTGTACAAAGTATTTATCTTGGAGTATGACCTTTTGTTATTATTTTTTTGGTTTTTTGTTTTTGTGAAATCTCCTTTTTTAAGATCTATTCTCTAGACTTTTTTTTAAACATTCGAATCACTCGACTTTCAAGAGCTTCCAGCAGATGTCGATAGCTCTTGAAACAAGCCTTTGTAGCGGTTCAACTGTTTTTGGTAACGAAGGATCACACAAATTATCAGATTACCTTATTTCGATAAGAGATTCCTGTCTTATGAAAATTGCTAGAGGGTCGATGAAGTACTACAATTTTCTGATCAACTGAGGTGAGTTAAAATAATTAAAGAAGTCAATATAACAAACTTATTTGTTCAGCTGGGAGCAGCTTGCAATGTTTTCGCGGGCGTTCGAAAAGTATCTCCGGGAAGAAAAACTTGCGGGAAGCATGGGGAGAAATGATATGACGGACTCCACAGGGACTCCACTATATTCTCAGTTTCCTTTATCCTGACAATCCTCGAGGGCAAAAACACACTATAGACAAACCTACATTGAGCAGTCACCGACGACAAATGGCAGCTGACCGTTTAATACCGACAGAAGAGAGGTAACGCAGAAAACGCTAAAAAAGTGCTATAATTGATCAATAGTGTACAAAAGCTTGCTAAAAAATACTACTAACATTGATTTTGGGGGAGAAACATGGATTTAATTTTACTTCAAAGATTATTCTTAGTTTTATTTGTGTAGTTCCGTTTTAAATGACCGTTCAGTACAGGTGGAAGACAATACAAACAGGCCATTGGGACTCACCCATAGGTGATCACTAGCGCCTCATAAAGGTGACCGCCCAAAAGAGATGAAAATGACAGTGATTGAGGAAAATAAAAATTCGGAACTTTGACAACCGAGCACTTACTACAGGGTGACCACGTAATACTGTGCCGCTTAATACAGGTTCGACTGAAGAAGGGGTCGCGGTGACACCGGTTGCGAACCGATTATTAGGCTAGGGGGTTTTAGACTCCCGCGGCGGACTCCGTCGAAAATGAGGGACGGATCGAAGTCTAAACTATAGATAGCAGTGATAAACTGGTGAAACCAGTTAATTCCAATGTTACAGTCGTTCGTGTTGTAGTTTTAGTGATGGCAATATTTTTTGGTGGGTTACGTTAGCAGTACTTTTAGTTGGTCGTCTGAGAATATGCGCACAGCGCACTATGTCGCACGTTGACATTAGGGCTCAGTGTAATTCGTATGGATTTGTCAGCCTAGCACGGTTGGCTGAATGATGCTCTACAGTCGATATGAAAGTGTCAACTTTTCTTCTAGTTTTCCGGTATGGGGCATCACGTATACAAGATGTCGAGACATTTTTATTTTCTCTTATCTTAAACACAAGTTTAACATTCTAACAAGACTCCATCTTCCGGCTCAATTTTTGACTGTAATTATAGGTTAAGAAATAGCAGTTGAAAAAAAATTCAAAACAACAGTTATAGTGTAGAATATCCATATTTCCGAGTATTAAGTACTGCTATGGAAAAGAAACATTGTATTCTTCTAAGAAAAATATATTTCATCGCTCGTCATCCATGTTTAGTCGTCCTTTGCGCCATGTTTAATTGTTTTAACAAAGTCCAGATAGTTGAAGTTTCCATCGTCGTCAGCGTTCGCTAGACGGAACATCTCATCACATTCATCGTCTGTGAACCTTAAAGGAAGCGTGACAGTCACGGATCAGTAACGCAACGTGGACGATGTTTTCTTTTTAAATTTTTTATCATCCTCCTTTTAAAGAAAAATAACCAAGGACGAAATTCCTAGTATTAAATTTTCTTGCATTGCTAGAGCAGTGTATACATCTTGACTACCTTTGACCGTTTGTATTTTTGTGTGTGAGAGATAATTTGCGTTACTCGTTCTGAAAGGAAAAGAAAGGAGTTACTGAGTAAACATTATGGGAAATTCTTTTTCTTGAGAACATGGGATACTGAATTTAACAGACATGGAACAAATAGAGTGTTGTCAATGTATATTCTAGACACGATACCAATTGTTTTATTCTTTTATAAATTTCATTTATTGATCCGCAACCCGATTTAACTGTCTACATGATGACAGATATTTATCAAATTGACGCTAGGTGTTTCGACGCTGTTGTTTACAAATGTCCATGCTTGTAGACGAATTTGGTGTCAACGATATGCATTCGTTTTCTGGTTAATATTAATTGCACACCTTAACCAAAAATTCACCTATATCTCACAAAAAATCTTTATGCCAAAACATAAAATCCCTATAGGGTTAAATACATTCGCTGTCGCACTGGGACATCTTGCTGAGAATGTAATCTTTGAGTGCGAGTTGTCTGTTGAAAAATCTGCGATTACGATGAAGGTTAGCGAAAAGTAGCGACACGAAATGCAATACCCTGGCTATTCTCGACGCAAAGAGAGAGAATTTAGTCAATAAGCTAAGTGGATTTCGTTTAACTTGGCAACATAACAAGTCAACCACCAGAAACCGGTGGCCACTTGATTTATCATAAGCAGTTTCCTGAGGCGTAACCTATTGTTACTCACCTTACCTAAAACGCTTGAAATTTTTGTTTTCCACCACAGATTATGAGATTAACTCCTATTTTTTGCGCTTGGTTTATTCAGTGCAGAATTTTTTTGTAAACAAGTCTCACCTCCAGCTGTACTACGCAGTTCGCACGCAAATGTGTTTAACTCCTGCGAAGCTTGCAACTTTATTAATTACAGATTTTAACTCTCTATCAAATCGCTTCAGCTTTTGTATAAGGCTTATGCAATTTTCTGTTTCAATCTAAGGCGAGACATATCTTACCCTGTTACAGTCTTAAGACTTTCAGCTTTAGCTTTAGATAGCGAGGGAGAAGAAACTATTAAGAAAATTCCTAACTCAGACCAATTTCACGGTCACTGCCCGCGTGAAAAAAAACTTATTCAAATACTTCATTCTACGCGGCAGTCATCTTTTATTTTCGCTAAAATACCTAAAATACTTTGTTCTTCCTACATGTTGTTAGTGGTAGGGTCTACGTCAATAAACTGATAGCCCCTCAATAACTAAAACTTCGCATTTTCAAATCCCTTTCGGCGGCTTGGCCTGAGTTACTGCAACGCGCGTGTTCGTGGAATCGTGCATGTTAGGGGAATCGTGCGTGCTCGCTCCTCGAAGTAGGCTCCGTCACTCTTTCACCATAGGGTGCTACAATAGCTAAACAATCATAGAAAAACTGCTAAGTATATATACTTCGCATCTTGATTGAGATTCCTGATTCAGGCGTTTATGGAACGAAATTCACCAAATCAAGGGAGATCTGATCGTAGACAAGCTATATATACCCAAAATAACAAAGTACCTCTTACCCATACGGGGAAGGCCTCTTCCTTCCCGACTCTTTGTCTGCATAATCTATAAGGATTAAGTGCTATAAATAATTTGATATTTCACGTATATCTAATCTTACCTTTCTCCCATTCCCATCAATAAGGGTCGGAGCTTATCCTCGTTCAGTACTCCCTTGCCATCCATATCAAACGAGGCGAATGCATTTCGGATCATATCCTCAGGGTCTGTACCATTCAGTTTCTCGCCCATCAGCGTCAGGAACATGGTGAAATTCAACGGCCCGGACGCTTCGCTCAACATGTCATCGATGTAACTGTTAGACTCTTCCTTACCCAGCGAGTTAAACATATCCTTCAGATCGGTATCCTTGATGAATCCATCGCGATCTTGGTCGATCATGCTGAACGCTTCTTTGAACTCCTGAATCTGCTGCTGATCGAACATGGCAAACACGTTGGAAGTTGCTCTCTGGGCCTTCTTCTTGGAACCAGCCTTTTTTGATTTTGTTTTACCGGACATTTTGCTTTGATAATGCTACCCTTTTCTACGAAATCTTTCAGACAGTATGCAAAGCGTTGTTAACCCACTCCGCTGTAATTGCTCTCTCGTTGGGAAGTGTTTACAGATTTTTAAAACGCCGGTCTCAAACCGCGCTTTTGTGAACCGATTACAATACTCTTGACCTTATTAGGTATCTGATGGACAGATTGAAATCGATGTTGGTTACTTTTCTCACGAAAACGCGGTTACGATACATTGTAAAATTTTGCCAAAATTTCCACATTTCCACGAACGGCGATCAGAGGGGACAACAAATCGCGAGAGGAGTTAGAAATTTTTACTTTAGAACCAAAACTTAAGGCTGACAATAACGCAGATTTCTTATTTAGCACTTTAGCGCCTGTTCTGTTTGTTATCAACCTCTTGAAATATCTGTCATATTGTTCAAGGATAATTCTCCGACTTCGGAACATTTTCATGTATGAAACCTAATTGTGATGGCAATGTTCTCGAAAAAGTCAATTTTCAGGACGAAATCTTGGAAAATTTGATTGGAACCTAAAACATCTTTTTAAACACTGAATCATTCAGTTATGACAGTTTCTGTAATCTCTCGTGCCATTTAGTTCCGGTTGAGTTATTGCCAACACCCTCTACGGTCTGTGACCTAATAATAAAAATTCTCATGACTAACAAGTAAACCCTTTTTTCGTGACATTTGGAGGCATCATGTACTGCTAAATGTTTACGATTCAAGCCGCTTGTTCACAAACAGGACCTATACGAATTATTACCGGCAGTTCCGTCGCACCAATACTCTTTTTCTCTGATTATTTCCTAAAGACGCTATATTCTAAAATTCCACATAAAATTTTGAGACTGATGTGAAAATGACTCTCATGCAGACATCTATTTCCAGTTATCTAGTCCATAGACTCAAAAGATCACCTGGCGTATTCACTTTTTTCACAATTTTAGCCAAAGCACCGCAGACAAGCTACCTTCTGTAACAAATACTTTTGCATTTCCTTGGGCTTTAAAACTCAGTCTCATCAGGAGGGCTCCTGGTCTTATTAAAACACATTTTAGAGCTTTAATCAGTTTTGGCTAAACATTAAATGATTTCTGACATTCTTGACGAATGAAAAAAAACAAAAAACAAAAAAAAACCCCTGAAATATCGTGGGAGCTACCCCAGAACTAACACAGAAATAAGATCAATGATATCTTGAATTTTTCACGATCATACAATCTCTACACTCCTAATCGTCTTTTTCACCATGTTTTATGATCTTTGTGAATTCATTGTAATTAAAATTCCCGTCGTCGTCAACATTTGCATGAGTAAACATTTCATCGCATTCTTCCTCTGTAAACCTAAAATGTAACAAGAAACAGGCCATAGAATTATAAATATCATAATTGTAATGTGACCCAGACTTCCTCTTGCCAGCCTTGACCGTGCGTTCGGGTGATCGGGGCACAGCTAGCATATTTGTGGTATTTGGATAAAAGCAAAAATTATCTGTGATCTTGAAAATGTTAAATCTGACCATTTCTCATTGTGGCATCGACATTGGAATTTTAAGCACAATCAAAGTATTATAACAAAAATCTGGTCGGGTGAGATATTCCACTAGACTCGCACCGTACTCGCAGTTCTTTTCAACAGTAACTACAATAATCATATGACTCTTGTGTTTGCTTTCCAGTCCATTTTAAAAGCAGATGATCTGCTTTTAAAATGGACTGGAAAGTAAATTAACATAAGTTTAAGTTGACCCCTTGGTAATTGATTTAGTGTCTTTGTTAGGTTTGGATTGGTTCGAAACATGAAATACCTTCTCCAATAAGTGTATAAGTCCTTCCTTGGAAATGGAATTGACTTTCATGAATCAAGACTTTGTTTTAACAGATATAACAATCTTGAAAACCATTTAGCGTTAACTGATTATGTATTTTGTGATATCTATCTCCTTAAGTATTCCGGTGTGTTTGATTTCTAAACAAATTGCCTAACAAAATCTGTGATCAAATACTTTGATTCCACCGTTCCAAGCAAAAATATGATTCGAACAGTCACTCTCCCATGGACCTTATAATACTCCGACGTAACTAATTTAAACCAAACAAGCCGTGAAATCAGCCAAATAAATTATTTTGAGTTTAGCTCCCCTGAGCTAGTCGAATCTGTTTATAATACCACTCTTAAAAAGTTCTCAACCCACATGATTGTCAATATTGCCACAGCCAATCTTCCCTTTTCCCCCCTTTTTTTTTTAAACAAATTATATCTAGACAACGCGAGAAAGTAAGGAATTCCAGTATCTGGTAACAACTTCCCAATTTATAACCGCTGCCACAATCTAGTAACGTTAAGTTTTCCTGGAGGTGCTAAATTACAACCAGAGAAAAGATTAAAAATTTCAGTCAAATGCCCATTTTAACCATAAACAGAGAAGTTGTGATTTTTTCACTGATTCCTGCACTTGGCATACAACCTTAACCCCAACCT